TCAGTGCTCCGATCTTCATTCTGTGGTTGTGGTGAGACTGCAAATTAAGGATTATTCTCGCATATGAATGCTTTCTGTATTGTCTCCTCATGAATGTCCCGTTGGAGCGCATGACTTAAATATCCAGAAAGGGTAGTCTTTAATCTTCCTCCAACTACATAATGTATTTATTTCTTTCATTAAGTTGGTTAATGAAATCGAGGAATCCATTACAATTTTCCTTACCATGTGACCAAAGTGAGAAGTAGTCATCCAAGTATCGCAAAAGCATTATTGTTTGTAGTGGTGAATTCTCCAATTCCTTTTCCATGTCAATTCACACATTTGCCGAAATATTTGCTCGTATATATTGCCGTTTTATGTAAAATATGTAGTCTTTACTGTCAGATTGATAAGTCGTGTTAACTATACCTTCCATATCCGTTCTGCCTCCAGGACGACCTCTTCTCGCTTCAATATCGCCAGCAAGGTGCTTATTGCCTAATCACCTGAGATGTTTGTGTACATGAATTTAGGCATAGAAACTCACCAACATTTCCGACCCCAACAACCCAATGTTCTGGATCTTTTGACTAAATTCATATGAATTCTTGACGGTATTTGAGAGTCTGTTATTTACTTTCTTGAGCTTCAAGCAAATCAATTTGCAAGTCTGAGTAAGAGGTTAGGACATAGCAAGTCATAGACTTGGTATTAAGGATAAAAACAGAGTAGACGCGGTGGAGATGAGAGCTAGTTGGCTGACAATATGCTTGTTTTACCATAGACGTGGTCCATATAGCAAGGGCTTGAACATGAGACTTACTATGAGGCTTTAGCATTGAATTAGTCACCCAGACGCAGGGAGGCGGGTAATAACGCCTCGAATAGCACAGATGGGGTGGCAGGGGTCGAGTGAAATACTTGAACCAGGGCGATAGCAGAAGGATCCTACGAGGCAAGAGGGAGACTCTGATAAGACCTAGGAAAGGAGGACGGCATAACAATATGGCAAACTCTGATCAACATTCCCAGCGCAAGGGTAAAGGGGGATGAGAACCCCAGCCTGGAGTGTGGAGAGTTCTCACGAAAGCCGCTCAAAAGGGCACATCACACTAGATTTATATCGGCAGGGGAAAATTGTGATAGTGAAGGCGTGATACGAGGAAATAAGATAATTGAATAGCCCATGACCGAAGGAGAGATACCACAACTATTTTGCACGCATTTGATCAAAGGAACAACCTCCCTTGTCTCTTTGATGAATTGTGGTATGGTGCTAAGACTGCAAGACTCATTGACGATGCCATTTACGATGCCGTCTACGATGCCGGCGAAACGTCTGGGAATGTACCACGTTCGCGGTCCGACTGGAAATGGACTCCGGACTATGTGCGTTCATCTAAGTCTTCCTACGATTATGACCAAGTTGCGCAAACAAGGTCAAACAACTTCTAGAATGTTAGCTACTAGAGTAGCTTCAACGTAGCTTCAACGTCAATTTCTGATTGAACGACGCGGTACCAAGCTTTGATTGAGCGACGCGAAATAAGGAGTTAAGATTAGTTACAAACTCAAGTGATCTCTGCGCCAAAGGATGCTGAGCCATGGCTCCGCATGCAATTAAAAAAGACAAACATTGAATGGGAAAAGTATGGGGATAGTTCACTACAATTTCTTTACGGGTGTATTTAGTATGTTCTGATATAAAACTACAAACGGAACCATTTGTTTTCTATTGGGTACTGCCGCCCACTTGTAGATTGTGCTAGCAGTGCTTGTCGGTTCCTCTTTGGGGCTAATTATACAAGAAAAACTCTTTTTGAACGCTAACCTCGTATCTGCAAAGGCATACCACATTGCCATATAGTCCTTCGTAAAACTTATTTCAAACCCAATAATTATCTCACCTTTAAATTTAAACAGAAAATTTATATAATTTACACCAAATAAAAATGAATGAAACTTCTTACTATTGATCGAGGGTATGAAGACCAAGATGGTGTGGCCTTTTGTTGAATAGAAGTTGTTTGACCTTGTTTTCGCAACTTTTTCATATTGGTAGGAAGACTTAGAGGAACGCACTAATATAATAATATGAAATATAATGTACAAAGTCGGACCGTGGACGTGGTACATTCCCAAACGTTTCGCCGGCATCGTAGTCGGCATCGTCAGTGAGTCCCGCCATTCTTAGCACCACACAACAACTCGTCAAAGAGATAAGTGATGCCGATCCTTTGACCAAAAGTGTGCTAAACAGCTGTGGTATCTCCCCTTCTGCCATGGACAATTAACATTTCCTATAGCTTCCTATCACGCATTCACTGTTACAATTTTTACAGTGCCTATTTGGATGTAGTGTAGTGTACTCATTTGAGCGGCATCCATGAAAACCCTTCACACTCCACGCTGTCGTTCTCACCCACTTTACCCTTGTGCTGGGAATGATGATTAGTCTGTCATATTGTTACGCATATTGTTTGGCAGACTCTGATCAACATTCCCAGCACAAGGGTGAAGGGGGCAAGAACGACAGCGTGGAGTGTAAAGCGTTTTCATGAATGCCGCTTAAAAGGGGCACGCCACACTACATCTAAATAAGAACAGTAATAATTGTAATAGTGACGGCGTGATAGGAGGATATAGGGAATGTGAATGACCTAGAACAGAAGGGTAGATAGCACAACTGTTTAACACAAATTTATTCAAAGGATCGGCTTCACTTGTCTTTTTGACGAGTTGTTGTGTGGCGTCTGGGAATGTAACACGTCCAAGGTTCGACTTTGGAAATGATCATACATACAATGGACTCCGGACTAGGTGCGTTCCCCTAAGTCTTCCTACCAAT